TGGCCACATTGCTGACAAAGATGTATATAATCATGTGATAATTTTAACCTACAGGACAGGGGACTGATTGGGCAAAAACCCATCCCAGTCCCATATCCAAAATTATTAAATTGGTTAGAATCAAAAAAACAAAGAATTTAGGAAAGTGATTATACAAACAAACACTATTTTACAACTTTTCTCTTAACATCAGAGCCCAAAAGCAATTTCAGGGCCACCAACCCTGCTCTGAATTGTGACCTCCTGTGCTTGAAACGAGCTGCAGATTCTCTTAATATTCCTCCAGAGTTGCAACAGCTTGGTCACAGTGCCACCCTTACCCTAGAGGTGGAATCGTTGCAGGTGACTTTTCGGCTAGCGTGCCAGCAGCCATCTCTGATCTGGGAAGATTAGTGAAAGTGTCTTTGACGATTGATGCAATCATGATAAACTTCAGGGCCATGCGCCCCCCCCCCCTGGAATTCAGTAGCATTATTGTATCATCATGGAAATCTTGGTCAGATTAGCCTTTTGAACACAAGGAATACGTGAGAATGACTGTAGTGTGTTCAAGGTAGTGTGTGTGCTTCAACACCTGTCAATTTTCGATAATCAAACATTGCATATTGAAATGTTTCTTATTTAACAGTCAATGCTGCCTTGACATCTTGTAATAATAATAATAATAGTATTATTATTATTACGATTACGAAAAGCAAAGTATTATTATTATCAATGAAAATCTTGTAATTACCCAGCAATGATCTGCTCCGCGTTTTGATTTCCAATTAAAATATTTATAATAACCAAAAATATCAATACAAGTAAAAAAAAGTAGTACCTCTGGTTAGTTATTAACACCTTTTCTTTAGGAGACCCAAACCAAGCCAAACAACAACGCTCACGTTTTGTCACCTTGGACTCTGTCAAAAAATAAATTGTTTTTTGTTTTTCCAAAAAAAAAAAAAAAAAAAATCATTCATGTCTGTCCTACCAGAAAAAAAAACCAATAGGATAAATAATTAGTGTACGCGTCAATTGTATCACAAAACTTTTTTAAAAAAATATGTCTTCCAGAGGATCGAACAAAAGAAACAAACAAGATGATTCTGGTGTCGCTGCTGGGTAAGTGTTTTAAGGATGGTGGTGGTGGTTATCGCCCACCACCTGTCGTCGTCACTCTAGTTAAAATTCACGCACATGTGAAAACTTCGTGTTTTGATCGCTTTATATTTATTTAGCCAATCAATATCTGATTGGATTGATGTGGAAGAGTTATTTGGAATCCTTAAAAGGATTCACCCACAACAACCGTCGGTCCCATTAAGGACCAAAGAGTTATTTGAGAATTTAAAAATTTTATGAGGTTATAATCAACATCAATTTTTTAACTAATTTTCCATTTATCGCTTTACATTTTTATAATTAACATGTTTATATGTAATTTTTTAAAAGAATAATGGTGGTTATGGCAGAGTATTCATTGGAAGTATGTATATTTATCTTTGAAATTGGCTTTTACTAAAAAATTTTTTGAAAAAAAAAAAAAAAAACCAAATTATTCATTTTGGATTATAATTTAAAGATCCAGATGACAACTATGACAACAACGATAATAGCAACAACAATAATAGCAACAACAACAACAATAGCAATAATAGCAACAACAACAACGATGATGATAATATCAAGGTTATAATCAACATCAATTTTTTAACTAATTTTCCATTTATTGCTTTACATTTTTATAATTAACATGTTTTATATGTATTTTTTAAAAGAATAATAATGATGATAGCAGAATAATTGTTTATAGTATGTTTATTTGTCTTTCTTATTAAAAAATTTTTTTTGAAAAAAAAAACAAATTATTCATCTTGGATTATAATTTAAAGATCCAGATGACAATGACAACAACAACAACAACAATAATAGCAACAACAACAACATTAGCAATAATAGCAACAACTACAACAATAATGACGATGATGATGATATCGAGGTTATAATCAACATTAATTTTTAACTAATTTTCCATTTATCGTTTACATTTTTATAACTAACATGTTTATATGTAATTTTTTAAAAGAATAATGATGGCGATAGCAGAATATTTATTGATAGTATGTATATTTATCTTTGAAATTGGCTTTTACTAAAAAATTTTTTGAAAAAAAAAAATATCCATTTGGATTATAATTTAAAGATCTAGACAACAACAACAACAACAACAACAATAACAATAATAGCAACAACAACAATAATAGCAACAACAACAATAGCAATAATAGCAACAACAACAACAACAATGATAATAATGATGTAAGTATCAGTTTTTTAACTTTATTTTTTCAATTTATATGATCTTTTAAAAGAATGATGATCAAGATAACCAAATAAATAATTTATTTTTGTTTTTTTGTCAATTTATATGTTTGTTTTTTAAAAATCTTACAGAGATATAACCTGCGAGTCAGGGTACCAACTAATTATAGCATTGGCTCATACAGAAAACGTCATCGTCGAAGTGTAAGTATATACTGAAACATTAATAGTAGACATAACATTTTATAATTTTTTTATTTACTTATATTTATAGGGACCATCATCATCATCATCAACAATATCACCACAACCACAACCACAATTTAATGACGAGGTATATATAATATAAACATAATTATATTTTAAATAAAATATTAATATTTTTATTTTATTTTTTATATATAGGAACAATGTGCAATGTGTATATTGCATTGTCCGTAATAATAATAATAATAATAATAATAAAATATAATCTTATTTCTTAATTTTAAATATCATTGTGTGGAATTTGATTTACATTTTCCAAGTGGTTTATGTTATTGTTTAAGTGAAGATACTAATTTGATCCTTGCACATAACAATTAATTACTTATGTTGGACTAATAACGAGCTTGCTACATTTGACTTTGGCAAGTGCTACTTGGGTAGTAGTATAAATAAATAATTATAGATCTCAGAATTCCTGTAGTACTTGGTCTGCTTTATGTAATTGATAGCATAAACGATCTACACCTATATTAATATAATTGTAAAAAATAATTTATCTATAATAACAAGAATTAGCCCAAGACCAGAATGTTTACTAAGTATTGATACATAAAAAACAATTATTTGTTTGAGCGAACAGGTAACAAAATTTTAACCCATACAATTGTCGATTGACCAATCAAAATCGTGAATTTGATAACGTAAAAATAAATGTTGGTTTGATTCATTTTGTCAACAATCACTTCACCAACAGTTGCTTCGTTTGAATTTAAGAAGTTGGAAGCAACATCCGACAAATAGTCTAATAAATTAAATTGTACTACTCAAAAATGTATTTAAAGGGTTGGTTTTCGACTTGGTTGAAGAATAATCCTCTTCCTAACTCTTCTCTTGACCATATCTCTTGATATAATCAAAATAACCTTAATATAATGAATGTCAACAAAATGATTGTAAACACAACCAATATTTAAGATATACGATTAAGACAAAACATGAATGATGTATGAAAAAATCAAAAAAGTTTATTTAATAAAAACAAAATTTACAACCCAAAAAATGTTTTGCATGTTCTAATAAATTTCCATTGTTGCTGCTGCATCATCTATTGCTGATTCAACATTACCCGGATCATCATCAACTGTATTTTTGATATTTTTGATATTTTTGATATTTTTGTTTAATCTTTTCGTCATACTTTCTTTTAGTGCGTTGACATTTTTTTTGATTTACATATTTATACAAAAAGATTAAAAAATGCGTTTTTTACCAATCAGTCTTCACTGGAATTTGAATTAACCAATCAATCGTTTATGTATGCACAAGGAAAACAGGTGAAGTCAAGACGTTCATTACTAAATTGGGGTTTTCATATGACACAAAAATTGCTTTACATTATTTGGATACGACTTGTAACAAAAAAGTCGAAATTGCATGATTTTTCTTTATGCACTATACCATCATTGTTTATTGGTACAATGTTATACAAAATAGTCTAATTTAACATTAATCGATAGTGATACAATAATATTATGCAAAATAGTCCAATTTATGAAAACAAAAAAAATGCTTTCGACATCTATTTACTATCACGAAAAACCAAATCAATGTCGACTCATCTCCATTAGACCCTTTTCATTTAACAACCTCAATCTCTTGTATTCATTTATCACATCCCTATCTACCTTCAAGGAATTGAAGTCGAAATCAAAAATGTCCATTGAATTCCAAGAAGGAGATCAACTCATCGCCACATAGATCTGATTAGGAGCAAACATATTTTGATCTATGGTCAAGGTGATGTGCAGCAACGTTAAGCCTTGGGTCTTGTGGACGGTTAACGCAAAAGCGTTCTGTAAAGGGAATTGGTGTCTCAAGGCATGTACCCCATTAATTTCAAAGTTCGTGGTAGTTTTTTGAACATTGATTTTAACAATGTTTTCGTTTGTTGGGAAGGTGACCTCGACGTTATTGTGGTCTATACTCTTGGTAACGACTCCTATTGTTCCATTGCAAATGTCATGCTCGAACAACTTGTTGTTCAGAAACATAACCCGTGCCCCTTCTTGGATCGTGATTGATCGTGGGAGGTTTGTATGATTTTTGAAAGGCAAACCATTGGAGCTGCTGTCAACCACATCAAAATTCAACGTGTCAAGCACTGTCAAAAGAATGGGGTTGGAGCATTGATCACTGAACGGTAGATTTTTGCAAATGAATGTGTTGATTTGTTCAGGTTGACTTTCTGGATTTGGTTGTAGAAAGTGGGAAATGGCATATCGATCAATTCTACAATCCAAAAAAAGACAAATTATTGGCTTTGCAAGATCATTTTAAGTTAGATGGTTTGATGCATCATATTCATGGTAATACTAATAAAATTCCTCAAAATAAATCACATGTAATTGTTAATCTTGGAACGGCACAATTAGTTAAGAATTTTTTATTGCAATATTCAAATTTGCATGGATTACCATCTCCTATGAAAATTAGAGATGAATTAGAAGCAATAATCTATTTGCCGACTTATATGAAATATACTACAGTATATGGGGAATTTAAAAATTTATTTAATTCAGAATATGAATCCATTAGTCCTATTGCATATAATATATTTTACAAACTATGGCAACAATTAACACCATACATTAAATTCCAACCACCTGGAACTGATATTTGTGATACTTGTGAAGCACTTAAAAGTGATATAAAATTTACAAATGATGATAATGAAAAAGAAAATCTTAAATTTGAATACAAAAATCACCAAACAGATGCAGAGCAGGAAAGAATTCATTATACCAACATAATTGAAAAAAGCAAAAATGATTCAACAATAACACATATTTGTTATGATTGGGCCCAAAGTGTTGCAGCTC